TCCCTTATGAAAAAACAACTGCCTCATTGAATAACCACCAGACGATTCTGATAATTGACTCGCAAAAAAAAGGGAATTATCCATTAATGGATGAATCAGAACCAAGTTCTGCGACCGTTTTATAACTTTGTAATTAATATGCGTAATCTATTTTTCAAATCTTTAGATCGTGAAACTATACAAACTATGTTTGCAAACCTTGCTTTCGTCTCGCTTCTCATCTCACTGGGAGTAGAAGCATTCAGATTTGATGAGGACTTCTTCATCTTTCACGGGAATTTCACGGATCGTATGTAGATTCTTTGCAGTCAAAGCTTTGATAAGCCACCTTCCTGCAGTGATCTGCTCGGTAAAATTATGGACGCGATCAAAACATCACCAAGCAACCATGTAACAATTGCTTTCCTCTAAAATTTCTCCGAGGAAGATGTAGCTTTTACTTCTTACGCACTACGATCTATGTACAAGAGTATTCAGGCACAAGCTCGCGGTAAATTCATTCAGCTAGATCTCGAGATTCTACAGCTTTAGACTACAACTACGATCGCCACTTCGTCCTGATACAACAATTTCCCTCCTTTGTCGGGAGGTGAAGGGCACTTTTTTTCTCCTGTTACACATGCGCACTTCTTGTCGTTTCCCGGTTCGCCATCTTGTGTTTCCAAGTGAACTAAATGAGCGAATCCAAAGGCGTCTGTATTCATCGCAGCACATGTTTATTCGTTTCTCTGACCTCTGACAAATATACTGGATTGTGCAGCTTACTCTGATGTTGTTTTAGCGCTGTTGTTTTCTGTATAATTGGACAGACTGTAAGTTTTGTTGCATTCACGTGGTTTGATTAAGGAAGGAATTAAGGCTTAACGTTTGTAGTTTTGTGTTGTTGGTCGCTAAGAAAAGGGCTTGGTATCCTTAATTGTCGTTTTTCTATCTCTCTTTCGAATTTTAGACTCTGAAATGTTGCAGTCTAGATCTAAACCCAGTTGTCCGTGTGTTTGAAGCTATAGAACTTCCATATTAGTAGTTCCAAATTGTACTGACAATAACAACCAGACCTATTTGCACCACTTGCCAAGTATCCAAAAGGAAGAAAAGTATACTATTGTATGTTAACCTTTATAACAGTTTCCACATAAAAGTGTTGCTTGTAATGACAGGATATTTAAAGCTCCAAGATTTTTGACATTTTAACCCCCAAGGTGTGGTTGGGTTTTAATTTTTTAATTTCTCCTCGTAGCAAAAATATTAAATCAAACATTAAGGTCATGAGGACAGAGGAAATGATCATCAATTTAAGGAGCTGCTGGTTGTCAAATGAATTCAAACTGTCAGTACCAGAGGGGATGTAAAGAGAACCTTGTAGTGAATATGAATAATAATGCCAGAGTGTAAGAGGTTAAACAAAAGAGTGAATAGTCTTCTGTTTACAAACAATTGATGAGGTGTTGGAAATGTTTATAAATGATTCCACCACCTGACTGGATCTTAAAAATTAGATAATAATGATCCAGTCAAGAATATAACCAGTAGCTTGGGCTGCAGTTCTTTTCTGTTTCATTTCATATTTGCTGTGCAAACATACAAACAGCTCCATATTGCACTACACCCATGTGGAACTCTTGTTCAGGCCACACTTTTCAAATGTGGCTGAAAGGAAAAGGATGAGATTGTTCTACAATCTGTAGAAACGTTTTGTAATTTAATTTTATATCTTTTTATTTCAAAATTACCATGACCAGTAATTTGTATCTGTAATTACTCTACTTTGTCTAGATATTCTCCAAATATACACTGAATTGAAATATGGCGTCTAATTTGAATTGTAATTGTTCTGGAGTGATTAGCTTCATCTTCAGGTGGAAACACAAAAGGATCATCACATGTTTGAGAGGCTAGTCAGTCCAGAACGATGGCATTCAAATTACACACCATATTTCAATTCAGTGTATTGTCTTTGTTATAATAGTTGTTGTCTGTCAAGACCTCTATGGAATTTTAGATTGTTTTTTTTTTCTTGTAGAGACACCCTCTGACATCCTGGAACTTTAATGCGAAGAAGGGGAGGTCCTCCCCCATGGGGATCACGCAACAGGTTGCATCCTCCCTCACCACCACCACCACCTGAGTATCATGACAGGTTTGATCACCCACCACCTCCTCCCTCAGGAAGGGCACCACCTAGATTTTGGGATGATCCACATTTATCAAGACCTCCTCCTTGGATAAGAGACAAGTTTGATGGTCCACCCAGACATCCACCATGGGCAGATGATTACTCTCCTCCACAACACTGCCCGCCACCTGGCTGGTCAGCTCCTCAGGGCCCACGTCCTCCTTCATTTATTGATGATGGTCCATCCAGAACCCCCCCATGGAAAAGTGACTCGCCCCCACATCATCCACCCCTTCCTCTATTCAATGATGATGATCCTCAAAGAACCCCACCATGGAAAAGTGACTCTCCACCTCATCCTGCTCCACGATCTTCATTTGCTGATGATGACTTTGATATTCCTCCTCCTTATCTTCCAAATAGACCACCTAGAGGAAGAAGGAGAGCTGGACGTGGTTGCATTCCTGGTAGAGGATCACTCAGTGGAAGGGGTGAGGCTCCTAAAAGAAGAGCTATGATTACAAGAGGTACAAATCAAGCAAAGGGTGCCATGATGAGGGGTGTAAATAATAGAAGAGAGTGTTCTCCAGCCCCAAGGGGTAGGGGTGCAGCCATTACAACTAGGGGAGCTCAAAGTGCAGCAAGGGGTATGCCTATCACACGAGGACAGACTAGGGGCAGAACCAATGGATCTAGAGGAGCAGCAAGGGGTACTCTTGTATATAGAGGAGGAATATGTGTCTCCAATATTAATGGTAATGCAAACAGTAAAGAGGATATATCAGGACTGTCAGATGATACTAGCAAAGGATTGGCCAAATGGCTGAATGCTATCAGGAATGGGAAGTTAGATACAGAATGCCAAACCTCAACAGAGGCTCCTGGAAACAACATTAATGCAGCATTGCCACAGAAACAAGATTTTCAATCAACAAATACAGATGCAAAGACTGGAAAAGGGAATAATGTGAATAACTATGGTGCAAAGGACAAGCAAAAGACACAGCCTAGTGTTGTCAAAGGTACTTGAACAATAATTAGTGCAAAAACACACAGAACACCACAGAATTAATGTGCTGATCATTAAGAAGCTTCAACTTTCCCCCCTCCCTCCACCCCCAGGCAACCCACAGGCATTTTACCTTCGTCTGTGCCCTGGGGGTGGGAAATTTGAACCTTACCTGGCTGGGGTGGGGAATTTGAAACAGAATTATCAACTCTTTCCAACAGAATACAAGTGTTAGATCTCATTGAATATGAAAGAGTTTAAAAGTAGATAGTTCACTTTTGCTAGCAAACAGCTCAGAATGAAAGGTGTACAAAGTCAAGGTGAAAAAGCTTGTATCCTGTAGAAAGTCATGATCACTGTTTTGCCTTTTCCATGGAAAATTGAAGCAGCATTTGAACTCAATTTTTTTCTCTTGGGGGCATGATAACACTGAAGCTTGCTAGTCAGCTGAATGAAGGTGCTCTAACCTCCTCTTTTTTTTAAAGCACAATCTACGAGGAAGGCATGACATTACTTGGAATTATGTTTTTCGGTGAAATACTTCAGTCATAAAATATTAATTATGAGTTGGTTTGTGCAATGTGACTAGCAGAGTTCTCTTAAAACGCTATCAACCTGCTATAAATGGTTTCTGTTGATTTTTCAACTGAATATCTTATGGCAATACACTTGACGTTTGGGAAGGTATGTGAGCTTAGTGCTAGTAAGATTAATTTCATGTATAGTTTATTGCACAAGAGCACAATAACACTACCTCTGAGGGCAGATAGTGATGAGAATGAATACAGCTGTTTTGAAAAGGGTTGACAGGGTTAAAGGTAAAAGTGCCCATGACAACCCCTAAAGGTATTGTTGGCAGTTTCCAGGTCACAGTTCCTTGACCTCAGAATTTCAGGGAAATCTGAGAAAATGTCTCTGAAAGGACCAGGCATTGGGGGTTTGATGAATTTATTTGTTTATTTCACTCATTGAAACTCACCTATTATCAGATTATTATTACCTACCGAGATTGCAGCTTGCAATTTCGTCCTTTTTTCTGACAACATTTCTCAAAACAGCCGTATATCTTTTCCACCAGGATAAGTGGTCAGGTTTTAGGTAAAATCCTGTCCAGTTATCCCTTTTTTGTTAACCTTGTCTTGGTACTTTTTATTTACCTGTTGCTGGGTTTGTCTTGTTGTTGCAGTACCTGGGAATCCTGACTTCATTTCATTCAAGAACAGTTTACAAGAATGTTGCCAGAAGCAGCAGTTACCAGTCCCTTCCTACACAACTTGGAAAAATAGCTTTGGTTACTCAGGAAAAGTTGAGGTTGCAAACAGTACTTTCAAAAGTACTGGTGTTCAAGGAGAGCGTAAGGAGGCCGAGCAAGGGGCTGCATATTCTGCTTTAATGGCTCTGGGCCTAATTGATGCCTCTGTCAAGTTTGATGTTAAAACTGCTGCAGGTATACATGTAGTTTCTTTTTTAAGTTGAGTTTTGGCTATAATTACAGTTATATGTGTCTTAACTCAGAAGGCCTCAGCCTGTGAACACCTTTGACAGTTCCATGAGGATTGTAGTAATTAACAATTTTCCTGTGAGTGTGCGTTGGATGTGAGATGGTAAATAGGCATCAAGGTGCATATTGCTGAGTTTGCTGTAACCAATCTTGCACCTGAAAAGCATTAATGGAGTAATTGTTTGTTTGTGTTTTTTTAATTTTATTAGTACATTCTTGGATGTTTGAATATTTTCGGCCTCCAACACATAGCAATGCATTTCCTTATAGGGTGACTCAGAAT